CAAATAACTGTAGATTTTTATATCCCCTCTCTCTTAGCAGCTTAGTCAGTCTTTTATATATTCAACTCTTTCAATATTTCCTCTTTGTTTAAAACATCCTGCAACTGACATGGCAAATAATCTCTCAGATGCACACCAAAAGTAGTCCCAGAAATCAAGATGGCATTTGCATAGAATGCATTTGTAGGACATATAGTCCTATACTCTTGTGGACATTGAGTATAAACTTTATGTGGTTATGTTTTTAATAAGTTTATGTTAATGGATTTAAATAAGTAGCTTTGAAGCAGCTTGACTTTGAGCCTGGATAGAGTGAAATAACCTCTCACCCAGTATCCCAAATGTTGTGACACTTCTGAAAATTCTTATTTATGGGACCGTGTCCATCTGGGGAAGTGTAAGCATGAGGTGTGTGAATGGGTAAGGAACTACTTTTGTAAGTTAAAGGACAATGGGCCATAAGTGATGACCAGGAAGATAACAGACCCCAGTGGACAAGAGGCCATTGAAGAGTTTCAGCTGTTTACCTAAACTCAAGGGGTTGAGATCATCTTGACAGAGTAATCTTCTCCTGTTATTCACTCAATGTAACTTATTTGGGGAAAACAGACTCATGGAGGTGTCTAAGAAAATGTATCCTGAAAAGAGAACCTCAAAAGCGGTCTAAGAGTCAGAATGACATTGCCTAATTGAAACTGGACAGTGCAATTGAGGTGGGAGACCTGTGGTTCCCTGATCTGATCAGAAGAGCACAGAGGCGGTCCTGGGATCACACCAGCCATACAAGATGAGGTAACTGAGGAGGAAGTGTGCTCCTCTCCAAGGCCCTACAACAATAACTCAAGGGCTGATACTACAACTTCCCCTACTAAAGAAAGCAGAAACAAAGACATCTCAAACCAGCCAGCTGACCCGAGAGCAACACCTGCTAGCATGACAGTACCTGAGCCAGAAGACATTGTCTGGTTGCCCAAACTGCAGTTCCTGACTGACTCTGAAGCTCAGCAAGACAAGCAAGCTAAAGAATAGATACTTTTTCTAAGTAACTTTATTCTTTTTGTCTCTTTAACAGGACATTTCAACACCTGTGCAGGGATGTCTACTAAGAAAGAGCTAACCTACCCTTTTTTAAGCATGGATGTGTATATATGTGTTTGTGACCACTAATAGTAATAGCACATGCATATAAGCCCATAGTGTAAGCTGCCATTGGGTATCAACTAACCTAGGTTTGTAGTAAATCTTACCATAGATCGCTAAGTCACCTAGGATACATAAAAATGTATACCTTAACCCATTCTTTCCACAAGGGAAAGTATAAGCTGCTAAGTAAAACTCGTAGGAGCAGGCAAATTAAATAAGGCATTTAGTCATTGGTGTTATGTTAACTTTGTGGTTTGATTACTGGTTGTGCTCATGTAATAACTTGACCAATTGTTGGTCTTAAATTATACTTTTTGTTGTTATCCGATTTTAAGTTGTAGTATTATCAATTCCTTGATTGACTAATTCAATGTTTATTGTAATATCAATATTATCATATTGTTAATACTTGAAGGAAGTATGTTGGGGTTCCTCTGAGACTTCTTCCACTCAGTTCCCTAAGAACTCAGTTTGACTTTAGTTTCATGACTTAGGTTCCTTTATTCTGCATACTGCAAAGCTACACTGAGTTGATTAGACTTAAGCATATGGGATGGGTATAGGGCGTACCATTCATCCAAAGTTACACAGCAAAACTTTTTCTTAATTGCATTTTTACCAACACTAACAACGTGCATTTTTAACTGTACATTGAATTGCATGCTTTTGGAGTCGCTTGGTTACTTTGCAGGAACCATTTTTGTAGAGCATGGTTTGTTCACACATTGTTTATCCACAACCTTCTTTTTACCTTGTTATAGGTTTTAGGCTTATATTGTTATTTTGTTTATTGTAAATGATTCAATGGGTGTTCCCCCTTAAAGTAGGTAATACAGACAGCCTGGAACTGTCTTTTTGTTGTGTTTGTACAGCACCTAGCACAGGACTATGGTTCCCAGGTTATTAGGGCTCCGAAGTGCTCAGTAATACAAATAATTAATAGTTAATAATAGTCTCTTCATCTAACTCACCTCACACAGCTTCCAGCTGTTTTTTTCTCCAGCTGCTGGCAAAGCTGTCTTAAGGAAGGAAGGAAGAAGCTGTAGTGGTGTAGATCCATCAGAAGACATTAAGAAATACACCTCTACCCCGATATAACGCTGTCCTCGGGAGCCAAAAAATCTTACCGCGTTATAGGTGAAACCGTGTTATATCGAACTTGCTTTGATCTGCCAGAGCGTGCAGCCCCCCGGAGCGCTGCTTTACTGCGTTATATTCGAATTTGTGTTATATCAGGTCGCATTATGTCGGGGTAGAGGTGTATTAATTGTTAGCTATGTCATGGAAGAAGAATCTAGAATCACAGGATTCAGTTTGTGGTTGAGGAAGTTGTTGTAAATTTCTTGTAGATACTCATTACAGACAGACAGAGCTCCTTTAAAGACAACATTTGTATTTCGAGTTCTTTCCAGAGCTTGGCCTTAAAGCTACTGACCATTAAAACCTAGTTGTACAAGCCTGCTCAGTAATTGATCATATTTGAATATGAGGTCACCCACAGCGATGAAGCTAAGGAAGTCTTCTTTCACTGTCACTCACATTCCCTACACTCTGAGCAAAACACTGTTCTTATTGAACTTGCAGGCATAGCACTCAGGGCAACATGTCGACAGACTGCAAATGTACTATGAGCTCTGCTTTCTACAAAGTTTAGACCAGGGATAGTGAATTTTTTTTGTCAAGGTATAGTCAGGTTCAGACTCCAGAGAAAATAATATAAAAATAACAATAATGATGATAATAATGGGGTCCATTCAAAAGCATGTGGCGGTCGGGATTTGGCCCACGGTCCGCCTACTGACTACCCCTGGTTTAGACAATAGCAGTAGTCTTATCATCATCAAAACATTCTGGACCATTTCTTTAGTTTAAGTTCATTTTTAAAGGCAAGTGTTTAATACAGTGTGTTTGCAGACAGTCCCTCTGGATTTTGATCATGCTAGTCCCTGCGCTGAAGCAAAGACATCTTCATCGTTGTGAAATGTTTGATCTATGGCTGTTTCCACAGTGTCGAACATGTCGTAGAGATGATTCTTGCCTGTCAGCAAACTAGTATCTCCCTAATAGCCTAACTCAGCCTGTTAGATGTGGTTTCTTACACTCTCTGCATCCACAGAATTTTCATTTTGCCTCATCTGCACTTATAGAAACTGTTCATACAACACAAGCTCAGTGATATATCTCATGAGATGTGAAATCCTCAACGGCTTTGGGGTGGGGTTTTTTTGCAAGGGAGAGTTGTTTAATAAAATGCACTGGGTGACTGATGACAACTCTTACCTGGTGCATCGTTAGGGAACACAAGATAAAATGTTACAAGAAGAACTCTTTTGACTGTACGAGGAATCGGACCATGGAGATCTTTTGCACTGGAAGTAACTTTCTGAGACCAATAACTTGAATGCTGCGGATATGAGGTTTCTAGGCATCCTGCACAACTAATTGTCTCAGAAAGCACTAACATTTTTGTGTGTGTTTCCAACATCATTTCAGTCATGTTGCTCACATGCAACTTAAACTTAGCTCTATGGGGATTGGGGTTGGATGTCTGTGCACACACAAGTATTAGAGTGCTGCTTATATTGTAATCACTACCAATAGAATTACTTTTCCAGAACAAAAAGTGTTTTCTAAAATACTTTGGGTATGTGTTTCATACTCTGTTCTATGCAGCAAAGTACAGTATTTATCTGACAAGCTCATCTGTAGAGTGTCCTTCATAATAATTATGCATTATGTGCTCATTCTAGAAAGAGAGCTAATACATTAACATGGGGGCAAAAATTAAACCTTTCTGTCCCCACGCCGCTTTAAAATGCTGTGTTTTGCACAGTCTCATAAATCAACTTAATCAACTCATGTTTAACCAAAAAACAAAAACAAAACAACAACTACCCAACTTCTGTTCTTCTTGTTCATCTGGTTATGATTTCCAAATGCCTGTTTATAGTTTTTTTTTCAACCTACTAAATGAAAACAACAGATTTTGTTAGTCTTTGTAAATAAGCCTGCTTAATTTCCCACCTTTACAGAAGTGTTTTAATAAATCTAGAACATTCTTCCCATTATAGTTACACATTTTAGATTTTTACATTCGTTTTCAAACAGATTCTTCTACTAATGCTTTAAATGTGTTTGATAGTGCAGGGCTCTGTTGTGAGCAAGGGGTGGTGGGGGTCCAAGAAGTCACTTTACTTTCCCTCATAGGTAATTCAAATGGTCAGATCCTGAACAAAGGGCTACTGCTGGACCACTACCTGCCTCCAAATTTCAGTTCCCGTTCAGCGGGGCAGCTTATAGATGCCCTGTTCCCTACTAAGGCTAGATTACAAGGTGGCAAACCACCCCATAGTTATTAATATTTTGTATTGCAGTAGCTCTAGAGGAGCATCCTGCAATCAAGGCCCCATAGTCTCAGGCGATGTACAAACACATAACAAGAGTAAGTCCCTGCACCAAAGAGCTTCCAGTCTATATAGGCAGGAGGAACAAAGGGTGGGAGAAAGGAAATATCATCATCCCCATTTTACAGTTGAGGAATTGAGGACCAGAGCAATTAAGTGGCTTGCTCAAGGTTACAAAGAGATCTATGCCCAAGCTGAAAATAGAACCCAGATCTCCTGAGTCCCAGCCCAGTGCCTGAATCATAAGACCGTCCTTCTTCTCAAGAACTAAACATGAATCTACCAAATATGGTTTTCTATAGCATGATTTTAAAATCTGACTTCCATCTTAAACTTATAGCACATTTTTTGTCAATACTGAACCGTGGAAATTTGTATTTTCCTTTTAGATGTTTAGTTTGTATGTTGTATTGCTAAATAGAGACATGTAATGGTGTATGTGTTTCTTTATAGGTTGATACACAGTTTACAAGTGAAGTCAATGAAAAAGTTAATAGGTAAGCAGGTATGCTCCTTATCAGTTTAAAAAGAAGCAGGGAGTAATTCTAGCCTTTTATTGTCTATATCTGTGTGTGCGGGCAAATCCTTGTACCTTATGTGCACAGTTGTCTGCATGTCTAACCAACTAGTTCTGGTAGTTTGTGTATACGGCTCACATATAAAATATTGCACGTTTGACTTTTCCAACAGTTAAGTAGAACTCTGTATGTTGTTCTGTGTTAACTCGTATCTGATTTAGAAGTAGATTTCTTCTATTTATAATTCATGTGGATAGTCTCATTCCACTCTTCCCCCTTGTTTCTGCAAGATCTTACATGCTGTTGTGGGTGGACAAGATAACCTGTGTTAGCTCTTTTCTGTCTCTAGTTTAAGTGTTTTCTGATTGAAGCGTATACATTTTAGAAAACAGATTTCTTCTGCAGTACATAAGAATCGCCTGGCTGGAACAGAACAAGAGAGCAGTTTCCTCACTCTGGTAGCCAATGCCAGATGGACAGTTAAGAATCAGCACAGTGTATGTTCTCTGTAATATTCTGTTGCAAGAGAAAATTTCTTCCTGGTCCTTATTGAGTGGATAACTCAAAGGGTCTCTTCTGGGCTTTTCACTGATGTTATTTTAAGTTACAGCACTATTCTCCACGGTCATGCAGTTTATATAGTCATTTACAGCTGCGCAAACTGAGTGTAAAATGCTACAACATTAGAATGGTGGCATTTGGCAGTATGATCTGGCAGAGAGGGTGCTGGACTGGGATCCAAAAAAAATGAGGGTTCGAGTCGTAGCTCTGTTATTGACCTGCTGCATGAGCTTGTGCATGTCACTTCCCCTGCCGCGCCCCTCCCCCCCCCATCCCTCTTCCGTCCTGTAAGCTGTTAAGGCCCCAGTCTCAGCTGAGGTCTCTAGGCACTACTGTGATACAAATAATAGCTAATCAGAATATTCAGTACAGGTGGAGAGCACTGCACAAATGCTAGTAATAATAATACATTGTGCATACGGAATCTTTTATCGAAGGATCTAGTAATATTAATTATGACTATTATACCTCTCTTGTTGTTCCCAGGGGCAAGTCATTGGGGATGTCAGCAGTGCAATCAAACGTGTGATTGCAGTTTGGATAGGTCTACCCCTGCTAGCTTTAATCTAGTTAGCACAGCTAAAATTAGCAATGAAGATGCAGCAGCATGGGCTTCAGTGCGGTCGGTACAAGCCCACCCAGTCCCCCTGCATATGTACTCGTGATGCTAACCTATGTGGTGCCAGTTTGCTGTAAGTGGTACTCAGGCTAATTAGATTAAAGCTAGTATGGGTATGCTTACATGAGCTGCAATCATCTCCAATTGCACTGCAGACGCACTGATACTTAGTGCAATCAGAACCATGATTCCTGACTGCCAGGGTTTAACCACTAGGCTATACCCAGCTACCCTAAATTCAGGGGAAAAGTCCATAGTGCATGCAGTAGGAATTGTCCTAATTATGCACACTTTACTTCTAGGACACCTGGGGTACATTTGTTACAGGAGATACCTCAAGATGATCTTCACGCTGCTGTGAAAAGATGCTTTGCAGTGGTGAACAGCTCTATTTCCGAGGGGATGTCTGCTGCAATCCTGGAGGTAATTACATCCAAGTGTTGAATGTGTGCAGCGTGTGACTCTGAAATTGCTTTGTATCTCTTGAAATTTATGTCAACATTCCTATCCAGATTTCAAAGCCAAAGCCAGTGAAGGCAAAACCAAAATGTTTTCTTCACAAGAATAGATTTTTAAAAAAATTAAAAATGTATTTAAATATTACACTTTATTGTTTAAAGACAGGCTGTAATTTCATCAGGCTTGTTAAATTAATATTACAGAAACTTAGGTAGGATGATCTGGATTTCTTGTGGCTGTCATATATTCCTGGTTTAATATCCATCTCCTTATAAAAATACTAGAAAATGCTTTATTATTACATCATGTTACAGAAGTGAGTCTGAGGCTGGATTACTGAAGTGATTAATAAATTAATGACAAGCTCATTTGATTAATTTACCATATTGGTAGCAAAAAAAAAAATCTCAGGTTTATTTCATACCAGTCAAAGTGGGGTCCTGCTTGCTCTCACATGTCTTCTACGAAAAATCATAATTTACTCAGGCTCTGTCTATACTTATGGCAGCATGTAGAAGACAGGCATTACATGTGTAGCTACATGCCACAGCGAAAGGCAAACTGCATCCATACTTGTCACTGCTTTGCTGCCGGAGCCTTTCACTGCATCGGAAAAGGCTCTGGCAGTGGGAAAGCAGCAAGACAGTACACCATTAAAAATAGCAGTGTAGACATGGGAGATGCTGCTTGGGCATGTAGAGAGCTGTGTATGGTATATACCCTGGGGCTTCAGGTATGTAGGGCACTCTGCTCTACTCACCTATACCACGCCTCACCATCTGCAATGCTATTTATACCCATGCTAGCTGGGAGTGCAGAGTCTATACTCTGCATGCTGCCATTTTGGGGAGGAGCCATCTTTTTGTTCTGTGTTTGTATAGTGCTTAGCACAATGGGGGTCCTGGTCCATGACTGGAATTCTTAGGTGCTACCACATTATTTTTACTACTAGTAATAATAATAATAGTGACACTCCTATTGCTGTTCCTAACGAATGATGGCAGTTTTCACTTCTAATATGTTTTTCATCTGTACGTATCAAAGTTCTTCATAAATATTAACTAATTATGCTTCATAAGACCTCTGCAAGGTAGATGAATGTTAGATAGGGAGTATGTCACTCATCACTGAACTGCAGCCACCTCTAGGGTGGAAGGCAGACACTGTTTGACCGCACACAGCAACATTATGTTCTTACTGCGCGACCTATTAAGACCAGAAGCAGTACTGCATTTGGGCTAGGGCTAAAGAAGGCTATGACACTTCCAAAGTTTTCATTGCTGCATTTTTTTTTTTAATGTTCACCAATTGTTGAGAATTGCTGGAGCATACCAACAGCATCTTATCTTTAATTCGAGATCTAAGAAGAATCAAGGAATACCAACCACATCCAACTGAAATTATATAGGGAAGTTAAGTAGGTAGAATATTATCATCTGAATCTTAATTTGCCAGGGTGTCAGAGTTAACATGTAAAGTGCTTTGAGATCTTTAATTTCTGAAGTGGTTCGGAACTCGGTTTTAGATCTCCTCCAGAAAACAGCAGCACAGGAACCCCGAGCATCATGCCAGGGCAGTGGTTCAGTACTGACTCAAGGGAATGAGTGCGACCTGTCAAGTCACCACCACCTCCTGCAGCACTTGCATGTTCCCTTAAAGGTCTCTCATCCAAGAAATGACCAACACTCAACCTGATTTACCTGGTGAGGGAGGGGGAGAACAGAACCAACGCGGGGATATAAGATCTCCATGGGTCTCCCACAGAACAAGGTGATTCTGCTGGGGGTAGGAATAGCTTTTCCACGGGGGTGGGGACCGACAGGATCATTTGTAATAATCTCCACAAGGATTTTCTGACTAAGATTCCCAGTCCCCTCCCTCAGGTTTTAATGTGGGAGGGAACAATCTGGCCTAGCAGGCAGGTTAGTATTTTGACAAATGTTTGTTGAGTGAAAAATGTAAGTCAGTGTGAATTTACTCGAAAGAAACTATTGACCTCAGTTCAGGGATTATTGATTTCAGCTCTGCTTTGTTGAAGCCACGGTTCTGACAAGGTTTAGTTCTGATGCCTGAAAGACTAAATCAGTTATCAGCAGGATTCTGATGAAGGTTTGTGTGTGAGAAATAGAATATCACTACTCTGTATGCAGCTTTTCATAATTGCACTACGAAAGAGTCAAGCAACACTTCAAGGGGAAAGCTGCCTTAGTCTAAATTTCTATTACATAGCTTCAGTGAGTAAGTTTCAAGGTGTGGGGCTGCCACAAAACCCCTGTTCTCCTTGAAAACCAACATATAAATAGAACAGTAAATGGCTTCCCATTTATTATCCTGTCAGTACACTAAACCACACAAAGCTACAGCCAAAGGAGCACTCCTTGCACCAGTGCATGTTGCCTTTACCACACAGCTCACTCAGTCACTCACAATGTTCATTTCTTTCTTTCTGGGTGTCTGCCTCCCATTGAAAAATTGTATTTGGGATACATAATCCCCCAGATGCTTTCATCTACATTTCTCCGTGTTGAATTTAATTTTATTTCCTACTCATACAGTAGATCCTTTGGTATTATTTTTCTACCCTCATTTGGTGTGGGTAGCTACTAGACATGGCCCAGTTTAGTGATGTTTGTAGTTTAATCCACTTAAAGCTATTTTCAGAGACTTGCTACACTGAAAATGGAGGGCTAGTCGTCTATTTTTGTAGTTGCTGAATACGCTCAAATAACCTGTGAAGTAATTGAAGTGAAAAATGAAACTCCCCTTCTCTAGGTGCAAGAATTGACCCATAGTAGTTTGCGTGTCATTTTGCTTGTATATGATGCTATTTAAAGAGGTATCATTCCACCCATTTTCCATCATTGTATTGATGGGGTAATTTCAAAACTTGTAGTCAATTTTGGCTTGTGTTCATGCGTAATCATGGATTAAAAAATGCATCTACTTCCAAATCTTCCAAACTGAGCTTGTTCTGACTCTGGATTGTTTTATGTTGGCCTCTTCTTCTTACGTATGTTGATGCAGAATATGTTTATTTTGCTTCCTATTCTGGAGATAAAATAAGACAGCATCTGTTACTATTTCTGCCTCCACCGAATTTCTTTATATATATTTTACCAAAATTTTCTTTGTGTTGTTAAGAAAAGGCTACCTGATAATTTACAGTTGGGATAAATAGGATCTAATAGTGGAAGCTTGAAAATGGCCCTGGCTACTGAGTCCAATTCACTTGACTGTGAATACTGTATAACATGTTCTCATAACAAGACATGTTGTCTAATGGCCTGAGAATGTCACTGGTGTCAGGAACTCCTGAGTAATAATCCCTGCTCTGACAATGGCTCCCTCTTGGGCTTTGGACAAGTGACTTACCGCCTGAGAAGTGCTGAGAACTCACAATTCACATTTGTTTTTGATCTCCAGCTCTCCCCAGAGAAGGTGCTCAGCATTTCTGAAAGTCAGGCCATTAACCTCTCTTTACTGTCTCCACAGGGCTGCTATTAAAGTCAGCCCCAGTTACCATTCGGGAGTAATGGAAAGAACACACATTTACCTTTACCTATCTCTGTGAGTGATATCTGTTGGTAAATGTTGACTTATTATGGTAGCACTCTACTTACTCAAACCTATGTTAGAATGAACAACTGTAAAGAGTTATGAAGATGTCACAGCTAAGTATTATTCAAAAATCAATAGTTCCTTCAGGGCTTGTACTTTCTCAGAGAGCAGAGGACATGAAGCCACAAGGACACTCCATTTCCTTCCACTACTCACAAACTGATTTAGTTGGGGTTGGTCCTGCTTTGAGCAGGGGGTTGGACTAGATGACCTCCTGAGGTCTCTTCCAACCTAATCTTCTATGATTCTATGAAACCAGCACTGGGTCAACTGCTGAATGAAGACAGATGGCTTTTATCCTGCCTTAGTGCAGGGGACAGGACTAGAAGACCTCTCGAGGTCCCTTCCAGTCCCGTCCCGTGATTGTATGATTCTATGGGCACATCCATTTTGAAGTGTGCTAACATAACCTGAGCTGACCATGGAGGCCATGTGACAGTGATACAAAGAGCTAGTCCCCTTCAAAAGTCTGAGCATGCTGGCTCATGCTCACATCAAATAAGTTACCGAGCTAGAGTCCCAAACTGTATAGGAAAGATGATCAATGGACCGTGCACTGGATTGGGATTCAAGAGATCTGGGTCCAATTTTTGGCTCAGTCACAGATTTCAAGTGTGACCTTATGGAAGTCACTTAATCTCATTCTTCATCTATAAAATGGGAATAATAGCTCACATAGGAGTTGGGAGAATAAAATCCACTAATGATTATGATGTGCCCAGATATTACAATAATGAAGGCCATATAAATACCTGTATGGGTGGTAACTTTTATTTGTTAGCTCACTTTAAAGACAGTAGGAAGCTCAGTCCAATTTAGAATTGATGACAGTCTTCCATTGACCTCAATGAGAGCAGAATCAGGCTCTTAGTTTTCCATTAAGAAACTGCACGAGGCTAGCACTTTTTAGTGACATTGACCCTTGAACCACCTAGTGCCTGTTATAAGTTTAGAATGATTTTGGTTTTGTATTAATTCCCTTTGGACAATTACAGAATAGGATTTGATGGTTCAATGGAACCACTCCCTTAAAAACATCTCTCTTGAAAGAAGTCTCAGTTTAATTAGGCAAACCGGCTACCTAACATGGCCAATAGGAAGAGCCATCTGTCAAGGTCTTGTTTTATTAACAAGACAGATCAAACTAAAAATGTTTCGATCAGAGATGGAACAAACGTGCTGGGGTTTAGAAACCAAATTCCTGTCTACTGGGAAATTTAAAATTTAGCGAGGTCATGTATCCTGCAAATGCTTATGCACATGCTTAACTTTATTCATGAGTCATCAGTTGTCCCTACAAACTATAAAATTATGTCTGGTTCAAATCTAGCTCTGGTTTGAAGTGA